AAAAGCTCGGCCGAATATACGAGTTCCAGCCGAAGAGCGGGAGCAACGATATTTGGATGTGTATGGTTATTGGCAGACTGAACCATATCGACCACCAAAAGTGACAGATGTGAGGATTTTTGAAGAAATTTTTAAAAAGAGAGCAGTTAGAGATACTGTCTATAACAAAATGCTCAACGAATCGCTCAACACGTTAGAACTGAGGGGGAGAAAGATGATGTAGTGACAAGTATCGTGCTCTCTTTTTCGCGCTCCTGGGTTCAAATCCCATTTCCACTCCCGCCCAGACCAACCAAGCCTTCTACCCTCTGGGAACAGAGCTGTTTTGTTATGATAACTGCTGTTTAACGCCGCAGTACGCGTTCGAAAGTTATCACAAGAATGCTGAGTTGTGGGCAAAAGTCGTGCCCCAGGCGGGAGTCGAACCCGCACCTCACGCTTTCCGGGCGAGTGCGCTATCCAAATTCGTCTGGGACGATAGGAGCACTGACTTTTGCATCGGCCGGCCCCTGCAAGTTACTGTGTAGACCACATCGCATTTATACAATTTTCACTTTAAATTCACCGCTTTCCAAACCAAATTCATCACCACTTTCTAAATCAAGTTTACCACACTTATTAGTCCGGGCAATTCATCAACCAGATCACGCCAGACACCACTGCGAGCCCCGCCCCGACGGCCACGCCTACTTGTCAGCGCGGACATAGATTTTCAAATCTTGTTTCATAACTTCTGCTTCTGTGACTTTTGTTGTCTTTTGCTGTTTCGCACATACACTTTGACCGAAAGGACTGGACATCGACACAGGCCAACTCCGCCCATTCTGTGAAGGGTTTGGCAATCTAGGCTCCCTCCCCCCCCTCCCCTCCCCCCTTGGCCACGCTCACTTGTTTTGCAGGGACGAATGGAGACGTTACTGGCGCCCGCTCGAGGAACTCGATGATCAACGGGAGCACAGGTGATACAGGTGAGGTTTTCTGACCCTCTAAGAAGTCTTGGTTTTAGGGCCGAATCCCATGCAACGAATTCGGCAATGTGTATATGTTCCAACCATCCATGTGTCCCATTGGAGCCGTTCACTTGCGCCTTTCTGGATTGCCGTCGATCGCTCGTCGACTGGGAGGACTTGAGTGCGTGCCCGCTGTTGTCGGATTTGATTTTAGTTCAGGTTCATCGTTCCCAGTGTAAGTATTTGACGAATTTTGATTTTATGCTGAACTTCTTCAAAGTTTCCCTTTATAGAATAGATGGTGCGGTTGTGTTAAAAGAAGACGCTGAGAAGTTCACCAAGGAATGGAAAAGGCTTGAAGCTACAAGAGAAGAGCGCGAAAACAAGGTAAGATTTGAGCCGTCGGAAAACTTCATAACGGTGCTCTCCTCTTGGGAGGGACATTCGCTGACTTTTTCCTGCTGGTCGCTTTTAGATTACGCGTCACATCTTGATGAAACCTGTAGACTTACCAAGTGAAAACGATGCCCCTGCCGCTGCATAGCTTCACAGGAATGCAGGAGTTCACAGATGTCACAGAAGGCATCGGCACTGATCGATTGGAGCCAGAAAAATGCCTCTACCAAGCCGAACTCTGCTTTTCATAGTTATAAAAGTTATTAGCCCTATTACTCTTTATTTCGAGGCGGAGGTGGTGTAGTGAAAGTGGGCGCGCTACCACCTACGCGCGGTCCTGGGTTCTTCGAATCCCAGGTCGACACCCGCCCAGGCCAACCAAGCCTTCTACCCTCCGGGGACGGTAAATTGGTACCAGATTCGTCTGGGAGGATAAAACACTGACTTGTACATCGGCTGGCCCCCGCAAGTCATTGTATAGGCCACATCGCATTCAATAAGCCACTACGATTCTGAATGGAAGTAGAATGCGTGCCGCATCCCACAAAGGGATTGATTAACGGCGAAGACTTTATCCTTTATCCTTTTATCTTCATTTTACTGCTTTGGTTGACAGGTACATTCGACGATTTCGAATACTAGGTCCGAACACGAATTCGTTGGTGCTAGTGGATGTACAAGTAAGGAGACGGCAGAAGCTTTCAAAAACGCCTTAGGGGCCGGGCTTGTTTCCAGCATTTGGCGAGCATATGATGGATAGAAGAGAGTTCAGCCTCAAAAGAGCGGAGTCAGCGTAAAGAAGGCGTGGTCAAGTTCAAGTCTTGGATCCGCTGGTCTCGCCACCGCCGGCGAATTGTGAGGTACTATGCACTATGGGTGGCTGCGCACCTTTTCAGTAGTGCTGGTAGCAATAGGAGAGTGTACTCGAACGAGGTCCCGCCTACCAGACAATCGCGGAATATTCTTTATTATCCATAAGTGATCGAAACGCATTTGAAATTGTGTACCAGATGACTAGCGTATTACCGTCCAAACCCCTGTAAGTCTTCTCCGTCTCACTCTGTACCGTAGAGACTACAAGGGATGTTAGGTTTACAGAGATGTAAACAAATGTGCGAGAGTTTCCTGCAGTAATTTGGAATGCTACTCGAAATCGCAATTTTTTTTGAGATGACAAGTTTTATGTGTTCTAGCGACGGGAGGAACGTGTACTTGGTAATTGGCGAAAGCTGATCCGTGGCATTCTTCGCCTTCATTATGTCAAAACCAAATTCGGAGCAACAAAGGACAAGGTTGGCCTTTTTATTTGGCTAATTCAATTTGAAAAAAAAAAGTGCTCAAAGACGAACTGTACTCACCTCTGGCAACGGTCAATGCCATTCATGTGCCGGCCGAATGGGTGCGCAGCTGCAGTAGCGCGCCAGGCACCGTTCAGAAACCGCGATCGCGTCGCTAGTGGTAGCGACCGGTTGTGTGGCGCGACTGATTCGATCGCGCTCCAATGCAAAAATCAACTGGACGGATGCTAATTTACACAGTACGGTAACTTCAGTAGGCGAACAATCGTACACCGTATCCCCAGATGAGCCGTAAATAAATCTGGGTGCACACCAAACACATCATCTCACGACAGAGCGTCGAAGTTGCATGCACAATGCACGTATGTGTTGTGGTTGCTATCGTACGAGCATTTTTGGACGTTTTGGGCGAGAAGAATAGCATGGCTATCGATCTGGCATCGACACATACACTATAGTTTTGCTCAAAACGCTAGCATTCCGCTGATAAGTAACCCTAGGTCGATAGCTAACGTTCCTTTCGCCCGAAACGCTAAATGCGGACGAGAATTATGAACGCAGCTCACCGCACCCTAGTTCGAGTTTTGATTCTCGATTGAATAAAAATCTGTTTAGATTTTGAAAACAACACAACTGCATCGGAATGAGAAAGTTTTTGCCTTCCAGACTAGTGAACAAAAGTTTGCACTACGCAGAAGTTTTTCTCCTCATTTCAGCACCGATCCTCGATGGCTCGAATAGTTGAGGT